CGCGAGGTTGTTTTAATCATGCTCAGAATAATCATGTTTCAATCATGATTCCCGCAATGCACTGTCTGATGTGAACTCATTTCGTAACGAAACATGTTTCATTCGTGATCAGACTAATCATGTTTCGCCCTAGTGTGAACACAGCTTTAAAATCTCACAATAACTTTTGATACCAAATAAGGCCGCTGCTATGATCATGCCAAAATGGGGCATTTAAATGTATTAAATTATTTAATTTTTACAATACGTTACATGTTGTTTATTGATAAACATAGGCTTAATGACTTCGAGCTAACCTGTCATTTTCTGATATATTTTTAGCCATAGAATTTTTTTTTAACCACTTTATCAATCGGCGGATCGCTTATAGCTTAAGTATCGGATACAATGAAAATCAATGAGTGTATGTTCGTTAGCCAGCTTCACAAAGTCAACAGGGTTCTACTTGCTGTTTACGATATCTTCTATCGGAATCTACTTAATTATCTTCTATTCTTTTAATTTAGTTTTTAATACGGAGAAGGTCTTGAGCAAGGTCATTCAAGCAATTAGGATTTCCTGGAAACAGGTTGACGTTTCCACCGGCCAGATCATGGTGGCGAACGTCGGCCGTAAGAATATTTTGCAGCTCTGTTACGGTAATTTGCCGAGTGCGCTCAGCACCTCCATCCTGGACGTTGTTTCCCATCACAGCAAAACTCACCGCAGCACCATTTGGGCGCGCACAAGAGCCAGCGGTCCACAGTGAATTAGGAATAGCGATGGTAGGATGGTTTTGATTAAAAGCCTCAATGTTTGGTTGGTTTGAATTTGGAGGATCGCCCGGTAGAATGTGAGCAAATGAAGTACCAGTCAAAAGATACAACACAGCAGCCTGCTGTCCAGGCTGTGCCTCAGTACAAAGCATTGCGGCCGTTCGTATCCTGTTTTCATATTTAGCCCAATGAGCCCTACCGTTAAATCTTTGGCACTGTGGTACGGCGTTTGTATACGTGAAGGTGGACTCATAACCAGCTTGGGTCCTTGAAAGGGTATGCGCTGGAGCCAAGTGACCTTTTTGATAGATTTTGATTTTGGTCCTTGGATCGACAGTTTGATCGCTGTATAACATGTCGCTTCCTTGTCGCAGGATCCCTTTTTAAAATGATAAAAGAACTTAAATTTTAAAATGCCATTTCCAAAATTTCCGGTCGGAAATTTGGAAAGTTCCTCACTTTTAAACTTGCAGTACCTCAGTAGGTGCCACGGAGTCTGTAACAATGTGTGAGGAAGGTTTTTTTGTAACAAATTTTAATGTCACTAACTCGGGAAGGTTTCGGCTAAACACGAACGTTTCTGTCTCTTTTCATAGAGACAATTAAGGAAGAAATAAATAGGGCGCTAAGGTGAAGGAATACTTTTCACTCTGTATTTGAGCATTGGCAAACACACTAGAGTAGTTTAAAAGCATTTCTTGAACGGAGCTATGCGTAACCTCAAAAGATACGCAGTCACGGAAGTGGTCTTTGCACTAACAAGCCACTTAAAACTGAGCCAAATAAAACTAGTTTCCCGTTAGCTCTCGTAATTTCATTGCCGAAGGTTCCAAGATACGGGTTGGAAATTCTTAATGTCACATGCAGGTGGATATACTCTCCATATTTGTTTTTTAAGTAAAGTCAGCGCCATTCTGGATAATTGGGAGACCTATATCCTCTTCCCAGCACAAGGTTGAGCAGATCAAAGATATTAAAGAGCTTTTCATGATTATTTAAATCTTATTAACTGAGCTTAGTCAGTTTGTATGGGAGAATCTTGACCGAGGTCGTGAGTACAGACCTCACTGCGTTCGGTCTGTGCACACGACCGCTTTCAATATCGATTTCAGCCAATCCAATTCGTGAATTTGGTAGTTCCCAGTCCTTGAGAGACAGAACAATATAATAAAGGGTGTTTATTAAAAACGGAACCATTGGATAATGCGATTAGAGAGTTTTCATTGACTTAGCCATCATGGGTTATGAGCCATTATACCATGCTTTACAAATATGGTAAGCGTGCGCGTGAGTTTTCGGGGCGTTTTTATTTTTATTTTAGTTTATTTCAGAATAAACACTAGCGGTAAAAAACGACGTTTCGATCTCTCTGAGATCATTTTCAAGTTGAAAAAAAA